GCCCTTCTGGCTCAGATCTTGCTTTCTTTTTGCTGTTTTCACTTCATATCTAGTAAAAGTACTTTATGTCTATTAAAATGGAGTTGAGGCTTTCCTTTCTTGGATATTGAAAGAGGCATGTTTGACACCCCCTCTCCAACCGGGCAGAGCGCCATTCACTGGCCTAGGGGGTATCCCTAAGGTGCCAAGCCACGTGGCGCTCTGCCCATCCCCCAGCTCCCGCGGCTTGGCCCCCTAGGTCAGTGCATGGAGCTCTGCCCGGCTGGAGAGAGGGGTTGCGCGAGCACCTGTTCCGCCCCCAGCAAGCATACCTCCCAGCCTCACCATGTCCTGGGCCAGCTCTGCCTGCAGGGCACCGCAGCGGCGCTCCGAGCATAACTTCTCCAGCTTCCAAACTCCAAAACTCGGCTGCCAAGTCTTCCAGCAGAGGCTGCTCTAGGAGTGCACTCTATGGTTGTAGGCTGGCTACTGGAAGACTCTCCATCCGGAAGACTCTCTGTTCAGCTATAGGGAACTATAATTAAGTCTTTAGAGGACTTACTTTTATTTGCATTTTCAGAACCAAGCAGGCAATTTTAAGACTTACTTATGTCCTGCCTAGAACTCACTGCGAAGGAGATTCAGCAATTCCTTTTGCAACTACTCCATTTCTTTATCTCAAAAATAGCATTAAATATACCTTGCCATAATCCAAGTAATTGCTTTTGTTGTCTTGCCCAAGTATTTGGGGCTTGCTACATATTTAGGTGTCTGGTTATATTCAGTTTAATGGATGGGAAAAAGAACTCCTTGTGCAACCCTTCTTAAATAGGGCCAAGGTTCACCTTTGCTACGTAGCTTTCATTGACCCAAAGATAGATAGCAGGATTGCTTTAATTCTTAAAAATGTTTCCCTTACAGGTTGGATCTGTTATGCTGAAAAAACCCACGGGAATTTTATCATCCCATACATCAGTACTACCAGATCACCCCAGCAGATCATGGGAGCCCTGATTAAGGACCACTTTGCCAAACAACAGGTGTTGCTCAAACTTTACTAGCAAGACAGCAGATGTAATGGGGAAGTTTGGAACACTGGAGGCAAAGGACAAATTGGCAAATGTGCTACAAATCTCTGCTGCAGCTCTAACTCAGAGCGTTTGCTCCCTCTGTAAAAACAGGATTTGTTTGTGTGTGTTTGTGTTCCCAAAGGGGCAGCCAGCTGTTTCTTTCCTATTCAACGATCTACCTATAAGGAGTATAGTGGCTTGCATGGTTAGGATGTTGGGTTGGGAATTAGCAAATCCGTGTTTGAGACCCAAGTGCTGCCGTGGGATGGGCCGAGCCCCCGTTCTTTGCTCCGGCTCCTGCTGGGGTCATGAAAGGAGCTCCCAATTGGGCATACCTTGGTCAACAGCAATGTCACCAGCTAATTCAGTTTATCGAACCGGAAGTGCCTTGGTGCTTCTGCCATGAGTGCAATGCGAGCTACCCATGATGTGATTGCCCCCACTGAGGCACTTAGACTAGCCATTCTGTATATGTTACTCTCCATATTCACAAATCCCCTAGCCATCATTTGGAGAGCAGTAGAAGGGGAAGAGATATAAACACTTGGGAAAGAGAAGGGTGAGACAAATGGTGAATTTCTGATTGCCCAACCACTCAGCCCCCAAATTGGAAGGTCCTTTGTGCTGTGCTGTTTGGTTGCATCTCCTATTCTTTTGCCAGCTTCAATGCAATTTCGAAACTCTCTTATTCCAGTGCTTGACACCAGACCAAATCTACCATGCCACTGTGATGCCTTGCTATGACAAAAAGCTAGAAGCTTCCAGGCCAGATTTCTTCATTCAAAAATACCAGACCCGTGAGGTTGACTGTGTGATTACAACAGGTAAAGTGCAGGCCTAACTGATCTTTGAGAGGGAAGGACCCTGCTTCTCCTTCATCAGACCCGTGAATTAATCCTGCTCCGATAGGAATCTTGATAGAGGCCAGGGTCTCATTTGTCACAGGTGGAGAGGGGGAAGCTCCAAATAAGCACTTCAGCCACACAATTGGGGACAAAGAGACAATTCAGACTATTCTCTTGATATATTTACTAGGCTGTGCAAATAACTTAAAAAGTGTAAAACACTTATTTTGAATTAGAATCATTTTTTTCTGGATTTTTTGAACTCAAAGCAAGATGGGGTTTTGAGGCTCCAAGCATGGCAGATTTGAGACATTTTATAGAATCCTAGTATTTACCATAAAGAGGAATTAGTTATGTATTTTTATACGCCACCTGATCCCAGTGACCTGAGGGGCAGATCCAAGAAACATCATTTCTGCCTCTGACAAGCTTGCAATCTAATGAGTTGTACTTAATTCCAAGATAGAAAGAGGCTGGTGACTGAAGGGAGAGGATTATATTCTCTCAATAGCTACAGCACACACAGGCTAAGGGAGTCAGCTGGTTAAATACCTGACATTATTTTTTCTATCCATAGCCCCCTTTCCCAAATTCCTATCATTTGAGGTCACGCAACATACATTTAATACTTCCTTTTTCAAAAATGGACTAAAAAAACCCAGCATAAATCAACTATTGGATCCTTGTACTTTCGTTTAACTTTTTTGCTGTACGTTTCCCCTTGTATGTCAGTGAGACTCACCTGGGATTGACTTGGAATCCTGTGAAGCTTTTTGTCTTTGTTCTGGGCCAGGGCTTGACCTCTTGGATCTGCTTAATTGTCATATATCTTTATTTCAGGAGAAGTCTTAAAGCTGCTGGACGAGGAAGGAGTATCCCTTCTTGAAGTGAATCCCATGCCTTTGGATAGCATGTAAGACCCTCCCTGAGAATTCATCTACTTGCCAAGCTGCTGCCTGCTTTCTCCACTTTCTTCTGCAACACATTCAGCGAAAGGAGAAGCCACCATGGCCAGGAGAAAGCACGGTGCACCCCCTCCCCCTGGCCATTACAGCTCACTCACAAATATATCCAAATGATCTAACACCCCCACCCCACCCCAAGTGAGCTGGTTTTAGTTTTGTCCTGGCTGGATCCACTTCAATTTAGAATTGCACATTGTTTAAAGGCCAAGTTAGGCTTAGGAAAAGTTGTTCAACTCAATTCAAAAGCCTGGCCAAAGTCCAATCACAATTTGGAGCATCTCTCACTAATGAGACAGGCCAGTTTTAGAGATCGGCCACATCTCAAAAGCGACCATGTTTGCCATCTGCCTAGCAATAAGCACCTCAACGCGTCTTCTGCCATTGCAGATGAGGCCGACGGTAGGTTCCAGTGGTTACATTTGGCTGCTGTGCTGATCCCCTCTCCTCTGTCTCTACATTGGACTTTGGTTTTACTAAAACACTGCTGGGCATTTGGCGGTATATTTAATGGCAACAGTAGCAATGGCTCAGTGGCTAAGATGCTGAGCTTGTTGATCAGAAAGGTCGGTGGTTCGAATCCCTAGCGCCGCTTAATGGAGTGAGCTCCTGTTACTTGTCCCAGCTTCTGCCAACCTAGCAGCTTGAAAGCATGTAAAAATGCAAGTAGAAAAATAGGAACCACTTTGGTGGGATGGTAACAGCGTTCCGTGCGCCTTCGGCATTGAGTCATGCTGGCCACGTGACCACGGAGACTTCTTCAGACAGCGCTGGCTCTTCAGCTTTGAAACGGAGATGAGCACCGCCCCCTAGAATCAGGAACAACAAGCACATATGTGCGAGGGGTACCTTTACCTTTAATGGCAACAGCTAGTTTGGGAATACTAGCAGGAAGGCCCGGGGCTGAAGACTAAACTGAAAAGTGGAAATAAAAATATCCTGAAAGAAGGCAGCAGAAATGAATTTCCGTATCGTGTCCAAGAATACTCGGAGTCACTCGGGCCCTGTGGGTGATAGCCCTTAGCCAGTCTTGGCTGATCTTGGGAAAACCCCATGATTGTTAGCTAAAGAGGGAAGTCAGAAAAGGAAGCTACATGGATGAAGCTACCAGGAGTTGACAGCTTGACTTTGTGGCATTTGTCCCCCTTCCCCCCCCCTCGCTGTAGGTTTGGCAACTGTTTGGAAGATCAGCTCTTGGGCCATCCCGGAGGTGGCTCTGGGGGATATTTGGAGCACATATTCAAATATGCAGCCAAGGAGCTTTTTGGCATTCCAGTTAAGGAGCTTCAGTACAAGACCCTGAAGTAAGGAGCTCAACTTCCTTCCTAGCCCTCCCGCCCCACCCTCCTCTTGCCTTTGCCCTCTTCCTGTCTCTCCATTCCCAGGATAGTGACAGTCACTCAGATCATTCATAGGACACACTCGGCCTTCACATCTTCTTGTGGCCATGTTCTAAATTTTGGGAGTAAAAACTGTCTGTACATTGATCCCCCCCCCACTTTTTTGAAGCTTCATGAAATAACTTGTGAGGGGCAGTTTGTTAAGATCAGCCTTTTTCTACCTTGCAACAGGGAGAATCACCTAATGCTTCTGCATAGTGTTTTTTTTAAAGAGGAACAACTTCGCCCAAGCCTAGGAGGAAAAAGTTTGGTCTTTATTACCAGTGCTCTTTCCATCACTGTCTGGTCCCACTGGGGCTTTCACCCCTTCTATATAAGCTACCCCCCAAGAAAAAGGCTGTTAAACCCTTAGATCGAATAGCTGCTGCCTGCAAGTGCTTGAATCTTGCCAGTGCAGTCCCAAAATAAATGTCAGGAATTGCTTGATTCTGCAATTCACCTCCAAACAGATTTTCCTTTGGAAGGTGCTTTTTTTCAAAAGGCGTGGAGTTTGTTTTTCCTTGAAGATGTTTCATTTCTCATCCATGAAGCTTCTTTAGTCCTTCAGTGAGAACTAAAGAAACTTTTTGGATGAGAAGCGAAACGCCTTCAAGGAAAAACAGAAACTCCAGTTGCCTTTTGCAGAAAAAAAAAGAGCATCTTTTGGGACAACCATGACCTGGTTGACTGAGAATCTCCATAGACTTTGGAGGATAAATTTCTTATTTTTCCCCAATCTGTGACGCAGCTGAAGCCTAACTTGCTTTCTCCTCACGAGCCTGGAGGAAAAGCTACAGTTTGGCTGTCAATCCTCTATGCTCTCTAATGTTCATCCACTCAGAAACAAGGATTTTCAAGAGGTGACGCTGGAGAAGGATGGCCAGACCCTCCTGCATTTTGCCTTGGCCTATGGATTTCGGAACATCCAAAACTTTGTGCAGAAACTGAAACGCGGAAAGCTGCCCTACCATTACGTGGAGGTGATGGCTTGTCCCTCAGGTGAGGATGCCTACAGGTTTGAGTTGGCATATGGCTGGAAGGGAAGAGACAAATGTTTGATCCAGAACTCTCTGGGACGTTTTCAGGAATTCTTTCAAGAGAGGGAATGATAGGCTAGATAGGCTGCATAGATACCATTGCGGCCTGCTATGTTTCCCTGGCCAATAGGACACTGAAGGATGCAAGCCTATGTTTTGTTCCCAAGAATTCCTTTGGTTTACAAAATACCGTATTTTTCGGAGTATAAGATGCAGCAAGGTTTTGAACAGAAATTTTTTTAAAAAAAATTTTGCACTCTGCAAACCTCCCAAAAACTGCCCGTGTTTTGCAAAAATGGGTCCATTTTTCCCTCCAAAAAAAGCATGAATAGCCTTTAGGGGGCTTGCAAAGTGCTTCTAAGTGGATGGGGAGGCCAAAAACGAGCAAATAACAGCTCATTTTTCACAAAAACGGGCCCGTTGTTCATAAAAAAAAAAGGGCATGGATAGCCTTTCGGAAGCTTATAGAATGCTCCTGGGGGCTGAGAGGTTAAAATTGAGCAAAAAATGGGCCGTTTTCCACTCATTTTTGCCCTTCCCAGCCCCCAGGAGCACTCTGGAAGCCTCCTAAAGACTATGCACGACCATTTTGGTGAAGGGGCGGGTTTTGGGAGGCAAAAAATGTTGTATTCAGTGTATAAGACGCACCCAGATTTTCAGCTTTTTTAAAGGGAAAAAGGTGCATCTTATATTCCGAAAAATACGGAAACTTACTTAGAAAATGAAATTGATGGGCATTTTGGTATTTTAGGATTTGGTTTAGATCAGTGATGGCAAACTTTTTTCTTGTGGCATGGCAAAATTGTGTGTGCGCGCGCGTACCCACCCCAATTCAATCCTTTCCGCCCACCTGCGCATGCACATGTGACCCCCCCTCCCCATGCATGCACGCACAACCCCTTCCCAAACTCTGGAGGCTTTCCTGAAGCCTTGGGAGGGAGAAAATGGCCTTCCAGAAGGCCAAAAACCAGCTGGCGCGCTGGAGCTAACTGCTAGTGTGCCAGCAAATATGGCTCCGCATGCCACTTGTGGAATGGGTGCCATAGGTTTGCCATCACGGGTTTAGATGATTACCATCGACTCCAATCAACCCAGATAAGTAGGATTCATAGACAGTGTCCTACATATCCACATTTTGTGAGTAGTTCATCCCTTCCCTTTTCCGTTGTATACCCAGAATAGTTCCATACAGGTAGTTCTGGATCTACAACACTTCCTTTAGTACAGGGTGAGCAACCTATGCGGCTCTGGAGCCGCATGTGGCTCTTTCTTCCCGCTGCTAAAACTCTGTGGCCAGTCGGCACCACAGTTTTGAGAGGAGCTGCTGGTTGGGGCAGGGAAGTACAGTGCGCCCGGAGGAGACACTCATGCAAGGGGCGGGTTTTCCAGTTGGTTCCACAATAGATGGGGCTTTCAGTTAGAGCAGGTAGAGGAAAAAGGATGCCGCTCTAGGAACTCACTCTATGGTGGGGGAACTGGATTTCCAGTTGGCTCCAGAATTGAATGGGGGGCTTCTGGTTAGGACCTTTGTGGCTCTTTGAGTGTTACCGACCCCTACTTTAGTGAGTGTTACAAAGTTACTGAAAAAAGTGACATGACAATTTTTCACAGGTATGACCTCTGCAGCATCCCCATGATTACGTGATCAAAATTCAGATGCTTGGCAATTGAGTCATTTATGACGGTTGCAATGTCCCGGGGTCACTTGATCCCCTTTTGTGACCTTCTGACAAGCAAAGTCAATGGGGAAGCCAGTTTCCCTTAACAACTTTGTTACTTTTATCAACTGAAGCCATTCACTTAACAACGGAGGCAAAAAAGGTCATAAAATGGGCCAGAGCTCACTTAACAGATGTCTCACTTAATAAATTTTGGGCTCAATTATGGTCGTGGATTACCTATGTTTCCAACTTAACGGCAACAGTGCCAAAAATCCAACCTCTGGCCCATCCCCTCAAGTTAGCAACTCCCAGTTTAAGCTAAACGCTCTTTCACGTCTCCTGCCTTCAGCTGTAAATCCTTATTTTCCAGGGTGCTTAAATGGAGGGGGACAGATCAGAGCGGAAGGGGAATCCAGCAAGGACCTGCTCCATCATGTGGAGAGACTCTATGAAATGGCCCAGCCGGAAGACCCCGAGATGAACAAAGCCATCAGCGACCTCTATGACCAGTGGCTTGGTGGTCCCACTTCTCCACAGGCTCAAGATCATCTCCATACACAATACCATGCTGTGGAGAAAGGCAGCACCAGCTTTAATATTAAGTGGTAAATTGGCTCAGCTCGTGTAACGTAATACACGGGTCCCCAACACCCAGGTCATGGCCCACAAGCAGGCTGTGGCCTATTCACAACCACGGTTGGGTGAGTGGCAGACTGCACACATGTGTAGCTTGACTCGCACAAGCGGCGAGCCAGCATGCACGCATGAGCAGCTTGCAATCAAGCTGTTTGTACCAGCCCACTGCTTGTGCAGCCTGGTTCTCCACCACCACCACCCCAAAATCGGAGCTATCAAGTTGCAAAAGTTGGGGACCGCTTGATGTAGCACATCCCTTATTGCTGCAGACAAAGCTGAAAGTTTCATTTTTAAAAGAATGGTATCAAAGATTTATATTTGAATTCTCAAAAATGATAAGGTAAAGCCTTGGCTTCACAGCAGACGAAATCCGTGCCCTCCACTGGATTTCTTAACCTCATCAGATCTTTGAGGCAGTAAATTGGACCGTTGTTAGTTTATGCTTTCAACAGCTTCGCCCCTTTTTTCCCCTACTCCCACAAAGTTAGAATTTATGCAAGGAGCTCTTCTGAATAATTGCAGGAGAGCAAAATGGAACCAGGCTGAATTTGGCATTTGAGGAGAAGGGACCAAATGTTTTTTAAAAAAGGAAATAATTTGGAACTCTGTGAGGCTTATGGAGAGAGAAAAAAAAGTGGATGGGTGGGGCATTGAGTAGCACCATTCTGGCTTCCCCTCCGGTTATGTGGCACAAAGTGGAGCATTTGCAGCCTTCCCTTGTCCAAGTCCACATGCAACATAAGGAGGGGGAACAGAAATGCAGACTCCCACTCTGTTGAGGTATATATCACACAGGCGGTGTATGTGAACACTCAACAACCATCAATAAAATAAGAAATTGATCACAGAACATAGAATCAGTTTTCCATGTTGTCTCTTCTATAAGGCCTGCCCCAAATTTGCCTACCGTGTAAATCCCCCCCAAATAACTCAAATGAGAAAGGTGCAGTACAATGGAATTGTTGCACTGTTTCAGCCTGCCTGTTCTGACCTAGGCTTTCCCAGTAGGACGAAGTCAAGTCCTTGTCCCTTTTTATTTAATTTACAATGAATTCCTCTCTAGCAAAGTCTTTCCTCTCCCACAGTCTTTCAAGATAGTTCGCAATCACTGACCTCAGGTTTGGAGAGTGGCCAGGCCCATATCTTTCAGATTCTGCAATACTTGGCAAGAATGCAGGAATTAACTAATTGTCTCCTGTAAATTCCACTCCCCTTTCATTCCTCTTTTATTTCCTCTAGGAGGGGCCATTCACTGTCCACCTATGGCCTTACTCCTAAGTCGACTCTTGTTCCTTAGCTGTTCCCTTCTCCTGGCAACTCTGCACATGCGCACATTGGGAACAGGCTCCAGATGTTCTTCCGCCTCATTGATGTCTGACTTTGAAGGCAGCTGATAACTGGCATATGGCTCTGGCCCTCTCTCTGCCTCAGAGCCCTCATCAGAATCTTCCATAGCCTCCAGGACTGGCCCATGTTCCTCCCAAGCTCCTCACTCTCTGACTTTACTGCCACCTCTGCTGGCCGCTGGCGGGCCGCAACAATACTTGCTTTGAGCACCTGAAGGAAAGGTTGGATTAAATCCCAACAAAACAATTTTATTTTTTTAAACGTTTTTTTAATTAAAAGATGCACAAATAGTTGTCATTAAATTCATGGTAAATTTTGAGGCAGGCAACTATATTTTCCTCCATTTTGCATAGCTCCATCGTGCCTGCCTTCACAGAAGTAAGGAATTTACTTCGATACTTGTCACCATATTTACAGCAAGATAATTAAGAATCAGAAGGAAAGGAGGCCATTTCCCTCCTTGGTGAAATGGAAGAAGGCAACTTCACCTCGGCAAACCTTCTGCCCCATTAGACGCTGCTGGAAAGGGGCTGTAAAATCCAGATGTATTTGCTGCAGCTGTCAAAAAAAATGGGACAATAATCCCAAGATTCAGACCCTGTAAAATGGATAGCCCCCTAGTGCTTTAGATCAGGGGTCACCTTTTGGTCCCCAGGGACCACTAAATAATTAATTTTAAATCCTGTGGATCACTAATATGATCTGCCTAATGAGCAGATGTATGGGCGTGGCAATGTGGTCATGTAACTGGGTGAGCGTGGCCAACTCATTGCCACTCATGTCCAGGGGTGCCTTGCCAGCCTCTACTTGCCCCTCCCCTCCCAGCCAGACCTCACCCGCCTGCCTGGGCTTCTTAGGACCCCAACAGGAAGCAGTTGTTGGAGCTCAGCAGCCACCAGGAGAAAGAGTTGGCAAAACAGCTCAGTTCAAATTGGATCTGGCCGAGGAGGCGGCTCAGCAGAAGCACCTTACTGAGGACTACGAGCATAGGCTTTCCAAGTAGAGGGAAGACCTTCAGGAGTACAAGGTCAGGTACCGGCACCTGGAGGCTCAGCAGGTTGAGATGGTCAGCCAGTTCCAGGCCATGATGCAGCCCCACTGGAATGCAGCCCTCCGGCTCATCGCCAGCAGCGGCCCTTCCCTCCAGCCTTCGCCCAAAGCCCCACCCTCCAGGAGGCTGAAGCAGACCCCAAGTCGGGATTGCTGCCCCCCCGGCCCATACAAAAAGACCCCGAAGGTGGAGACTCTGCAGCAACACAAGCATTCATTGCACATATCCGACCAAGGGGCCGTAGTTTGAGGATCCCTGATTTAGCGCCATATAAAAAATGCAAATAATTTTCTCGTGGACCACCAGGGGCCCACGGACCACCAGTTGGTGACCTCTGCTTGAGAGGACCTCTGCAATAGGTGCTCAACATTTTCTGACAGCACGGGGGAAGAGGGAGGGAGCCCTTCAACGACAGCACCTGTATCCCCATCATGGCAGGGAGGGGTTCACTTCTGCAGGAGTGGGTCGAAGAGCCCCCACTCGAACGCCAACATGGCCTGAGGATTCAGCCGCTCTTTGGGCTTCCGGAAGCTCTCTTTGGCCTTGCACAGAGCCGTGAAGGCTTCAACAGGTTCCGACTTTCCCGTGAACTTCTGGACCGGCTCTTCCCTGGAACAGCAAATAAGCCCATTTAGCAAACTCAACAAATAGGTTGTCACCGGATCTTCAAATGGATCACGTTGTACAGATGTACAAGATGGTGAAAGGAGCCTGTAGGTCCTTTGCAAAAACCAGCTGGTTCCTCCAGCAGGGATCACAGGTGCCAAAATGCAACCATCATCGTTAGGTAAAAGTTCCCCTTGCACATAGGTGCTAGTTGTTCCCGATTCTAGGGGACTGTGCTCATCTCTGTTTCAAAGCCAGCGCTGTATGAAGACGCCTCCATGGTCATGTGGCCGACATGACTCAACGCCAAAGGCGCATGGAATGCTGTTACTTTCCCACCAAAGGTGGTCCCTATTTTTCTACTTGCATTTTTACATACTTTCGAATTGCTAGATTGGCAGAAGCTGGGATGAGTCACGGGAGCTCACTCTGTTATACAGTGCTAGGGATTCGAACCACCAAACTGCTGAACTTCCTGATCGACAAGCTCAGCCTCTTAGCCACTGAGCCACCACCCTACCATCACTATACCTTGAGTTATAACTGGTTTCATGGAATATTCTGCAGAGCAGGGGTGTTTGGAATAGCCGTGGTGGCACAGCGGTTAGAATACAGTATTGCAGGCTGACTCTGCCCACTGCCAGGAGTTCGATCCTGACCGGCTCATGGTTGACTCCACCTTCCTCCCTTCCAAGGTCAGTAAAATGAGGAGCCAGATTGTTGGGAGCAGTAGGCTGATTCTAAACCGGTCAGAGAATGTTATAAAGCACAATGAAGTGGTAGAATAAGTCTACTTCTGGATGGCGCAGTGGTTAGAATGCAATAGGAGCCGTG